TGTTGATAAAGATGAATTCCAAAGAGCTTTTGCAAAAGCAAAATATAGCACTGCAATTTCTTATGATACACGTTATTCCAAAACTGTGATCTTGGGCAGTCAGGTATTATAACTATTTACTTATAATTAATTAATTATTCAATTAATTGATTATTTAATTATTATTTTTTTAGGTTTTATCTTCTGCAAAAATTGTTTCTGCTTCTGAAGCAGTATCAGAATATGATCATATCAAAGAAACAGATGTTACAGAAGTAATTATTAAAAAAATATATTATATTTTGATAATTAAATAATAATGATAATAATAATTTTTTTCCTATTGAAACATGTATATAATTATAGATTGCCAATAGAATTTTGTCAAGTAAACCTACTGCTGTGGCACTTGGAGACATAGCTACCTTACCATATGCTGATGCTCTATCTCTTTAATTAAAATTCTGTTATTAAGATGTGAATTCAAATTCATATTTAAATTAAATAAAGACGAATAGAAATAAATTATTACTTAATATTAAATTTTTATTTAAAGTTGTCACTACATTCCTTGGGTTATATGAGATCATCCCACACTTTTTAAAGATGATGGTTAACATTATTATTTTTTTGTTTTGTATAACAAATTCCAACTAATTTCATCTGCATTATAGGGGGGATTATCTTTGTAGAGGACAAATAGGAGATTATGATGTTCGCAATTAAATTGAATTTAAAGATTACAATCTAAACCAGGGACAATGATTTTCTGCAGAAATCACGGAAAGTACAGGAGCCCGACAACTACATAGATACTCTAATATAATGAATTTATTGGCTAATTGCGACATCCTTAACATAAATAGACTAATTCATCGACAGCCAAGATGATTCTTACTCTTAATAGTAAGATCGTTAACCTTTATTATTACCAAAAAAAAATGTAACCTATCTATGTAACATGATAAAAGTTTTTTTTTATGCGACCAGGATTCTAGTAATTTTTATGACCATTTTGTTGATTGAATATGAAAATTGACAGTCGATGGCCATCTTAATAGTAAAACACATAAAGCTAATAAACATCATCAACATCAACATCAATGTCAACGTCAACTTCAATAAACACTTTACCTCTCTTTTTCTTCTGAGCCTAAAAAGCTATAATTCGTGATTTAATTGAAGCCTTTGCTATAGCATTTTTGAAGTGCCCATGAAAAGTTTGCAAGCACATATCCTTCTTGTCCTAGATGTCCTCTTTTTCATGCCTGTCAAATTTTTGATCCAAATTTTATTTGCTTAATGATATAATTTCAAGAATTAAATGACTCATCTAATGTTTTATTAAATGAATGGGCAATTTATTGTTTGATATAAATTTTGGAAATTAGCTTAGATGAATACTGGTTAAGTATGGCCAGAAATTGAAATTTACCCAATCTATCTCAAATAGCATTGGACCATATATGGTTACCAATCTCTTCTTGTAGTGTAGAACGAAATTTTTCTAAATACAATTTTTAGGCAAAATTTATCTGAAGAGTCTTTACACTATTTAAATATGCTTTATTATTAATGGCAGTTTAAATAATTAAAATTATAATGCAGAATTACTGCAGAATGCATAGATATTATAACGAATTGTGCAGAATATAGTGTTTTTTAATATTAATATCAATGCACTTTTAGCAATTCGCTTCATCACCGCAGAAAATCATCATCCCTGATCTAAACAAACAAAAAATTAAAAACAACTAAACATTTGTAAATCAATAAATGTAAAATTATTAATAAATAAAATAACTTTAAATCACTTTCTTTTCTTTCATGTTGCCTATCATTTAATTAAAAAAAAAAACAAGTCAAATAAAAGCATTAGAAAATTTCTATGATGCACACAAATTGTGCATTTTATGGTCTAAACTAAGCATATAACTTATATAGCATTTATTCTAAGCTTAACCTAGAAAACACTAGATTATTATAACTCATTTTCCTTTGACAGTCTTGTCTGTTCAGAGATCATGTATTAGTGATAACATTAGCTATTGGTAGATGGATCAAATTGAAATAGCTGAATATTTCAAGTAACATGAATTTTGGATGTTAAATGACATTATTAAAAAATCAAGAGAATTGGTGCAAGTCACAAAGACACAAATTTAGTGTGTAATCTTTTGCTAATAAAGGTGATAACAATACATCTACAAATAAAAATTACAAGTTCAATAATTAATTAATTATCATTTGCCATTAAACAATAAATGAAATATTATATTTAATGCTTCTGTCAAAATTGATAAATGCTACCCAAGAATAATAAATATTTTCCTGATCTTTCTCTTTTCTCCTTATTAAAATGCCAAGTAAAATACAGGAAACTCTTATCTTTTGGTTTTTTCTTTGTATAAATTATATTAAAGGATATATATTCTTATTATCTATCTACCATACACAACTAATTATATATATATAATTGATAGTGATATTCTGTATCTTTAAATTGAATGTTAAGTCTAATATCACTTCACTTAGCAATTATCAATTAAACAATAAAAATGATTGTTTTGTATTTATTATATATTGTTACCCAATCTTATTTATTTACCATTATTTTGATTTTATCTTATCTACATTACATGATATTATTATTTATTATATTAATTATTTATTACTTATTTATTGACATTGTATTTCAACATACACATTTACATAGTACTATGTTGACTAAGTTGACGAGGTACAATCTTAGTCTTAGCCATAAACATCATCAATGTCAATAAAGTAGCACTCTGATTAGAGAACATGGATATAAAGGATGCACTTTTGAGAATAACTTTTTTTACTAGTTTCAACTAATCAAATAATGCCCAAACCTATTCACTAGTAAATGCCCTATTCAGTTTTTATTTTTATTGTCAATTAATTCACACTTCCCAAAAATTAATTGATACTATATAATTATAATGTTAAATGGTGATGAGAAAATTACTAATGATATTGTATTGTTTTTAATGTAACCATGTACGAGGTGAATGAATGTCTTAAATGGATTATGTTAAAGGATATCACATGACACATCCTCAAATTGCATTATGAATTGTATTGCATGATTTTACTGTTGGTGTTCCCTAATAATAAAATCTTGATAAGTCATATTAACTTTTCATTATTTGCCTAATATTACTAATACTAATACTAATACTATGCTAATATTATTATTGTCTGACCAATTATGATTTTTGTGTTTTATCATTCAAAATGGAAAATTTCTATGCGGAAGAGTATCAATACCATCAATATGATGATGATGACAATAGTGGTGGTGTTGTTGATGATAATTTTACATGTGAACAAATAAACACTTCCAATACAAGGTCCAATAGTTCATTGGCTTCAAGTTCCAATGATTTAAGCAGTGGTTCCAAAAGACCTTTAAAAAAACAAATTGTAACACATAGTTTTGTGTGGAAGTATTTTGAAAAAGTGAAAGATTCAAATGGAAATGAATTCATAATTTGCAAGTTTTTAAAAAAAAAACAAAATATTATTATTAAAAAAAAACTTAGTCAACTAATTAGTCGACTAAAATAATCAACTAAATAATCAACTAAAATAGTCAACTAAAATCAGTGGTTCAAATCTTTTTTTGAATTATTTGAACTTTTAACTGTTAATTAGTGTTAGTTAAATAACATGCTGATCATTTGAACTTTGCTGAGCAGTTATTTAACCAACCTGCAAGTTATTTAACAAAGTTCATTACAAATATGGAAAACAGTATCAAATATTATTATTATATGTACTGTTTTCTGGATCCAGAGTTAATAACTTTGATTTTAGGAAAGAACAATGTTTATTTACACTTGGTGGACAAAAGTTTGCATCCAAAATTTCTTTTCAATTTATTTCAAAACTATACTAATTAAAATATTGTAATCTTTATATCATTCAAAAGCTCTTGTTTTTGAGAATATGTTTGTGACAGTATGTCCCGAAGGGTTGAATATTGCATTGTCAACAATGGTTGGCCATCTAGATATTAAATAATATTTTTTTGAGATAAAAAATAAGCCTTTTATCTATCAACATTGTTATTTTTACATCATTTTTTATTTTTTTTTATGACAAAACTTCAAATTTAATTTCAATTAAATTTAAATTTGTAGTTCTTTCCCATTTTTCAAAATTGTTTAAAAATATTTTGTTATTTTTTACATTGTTTTTATTTTTTATTTTTTATCTTTTTTTATGACAAAACTTCAAAATTTAATGTCATGACCATATTCTCAAGAACAAGAGTTTTTGAATGATATAGAGATTACAATATTTTAATTAGTATAGTTTTGAAATAAATTGAAAAGAAATTTTGGATGCAAACTTTTGTCCACCAAGTGTATTTAGCTAATATTGTTTTAATAGAAGCACTTACCCCCCCCCCCCCACACACAGGTAAGATATTTTGATCACGTGTATAACAATCATTTACCTTTTTTAGGTATCAACAAAGCACAAGCGAAAAAATGCAATTTTCATCACTCTATATACAAAGAAAAGAACTCTTCCATGTAAGTTAAATAGTAAAAAAAAAAGTAACATTAGAGAAAATTTTCTGTATGATGATGTGATAAGGTAGGACCCTAAACAATCAATAGGTTTTGAAAGTTTATCAATTTTTGAAAACTCCAAGATTGTTCGGAGCCCGTATTCAGGGGGTCATCTTTAGATTTAATTTCCATTTATGGTAATAACCCTGACTGTAATGTAAAAATTTTTTATCAAAATTTCTAAATTATTTAATTAGAAATATAAAATGAAAGCTATTCCAATAACGCACACAAAGCCAGTTTTTAATAAATTTATAAGTTTAGTAAAGTGTGGTTGTTTTATACATTTTTGTGCACAACATGTTTTTCAAGTCTCAGCAGTATTTATTTATTTATTCAATTATTATTTATTTCAAGTTCACACATATATATTAGTTAATTGAAAATTTAATAAAATAGTGTATAGGACCATCTATGCTTCCAACATTTAATGTAGATGGTGATATACTTGCAATAGAACATTTAAGTTCCAAATTTAAACATTTGAAAGTGGGTGATGTGGTTATTTGTATATCACCTACAAATCCTTATAATTTAATTTGTAAAAGGATAATAGGAATGGTAACTATAATTATTAATTGTTATTGATAATGTTGTTGTTATTTATGTTGATTTGATTTTTAATTAATTATCATTTTAATTTTTCAAAAGCCAGGAGATTTTATTTGTGTTGATCCAACATTAAAAGATAGAACTTATATTAATGTAAGTTATTATAGTAAATGATGATATGATAACAATCAACCAGTTAATAATCCATGAATTTACATATGAATTAATAGGTTCCTAAAGGTCATATTTGGATACAAGGTGACAATATGAATAATTCCATTGATTCCAGATCCTATGGTCCTGTACCTCATGCTTTAATTCGTGGACGTGTATTTGCTAGGGTAAATGATAAAACACATATTTGTATCAGTAATATCTGTTATATTTAATTTGCTCATTTTAATTTTTATATAATAATAATTTATTAAAAAAGGTTTGGCCAAAACCATGTTGGGTAAAAAATGGTTTAATTCCATTTCAAAAAAAAACAACCACAACAAAATAGGAAGATAATATATTAATAATATAACAACAACAACAACAACAATAAAAATAATGCCATTGATCTTTTAAATTGTTATTTTGGTATTTGTGATTTTTTTGGTTTAATAATAATCCCTAAAGAAAGTGATTGGACATGTTAGCAACATAATCAATAAATTAATTTTATTTATTGCTAATGGCTTTAAACTCCTCTAAAACATATAATCCTCCAAACAATAACACCTCCCCAGTAAACGAACTAAGTGAATAAAATAAATAATAAAAAAAGTATTACAGTAAAATATTAGATAATAATTTTTTTTTGCTTCTTTTTTTTTAGAAAAGTAATGAAAAAAGGACAGACATAACTACAGTGAGACTTATGAGTTAATAAGTGCCCAAGACAATAAATATTATTATTAGTCATGAAATGTTTACTACAAAATTGCAGTCTATAAAGTCTCAACCTAAATTAGAACATCTGTCATCATATTTCCTTGCAATTCTGTTCAGCATAATTTTAGCATTTTAACATTTGTCACCAATTATTATTTGGGAGAGTGTATTAATCGATTATGTGGATCAGAATGAATTGGATATTACTAACAAATTAGTTTTATTAGTGATTTAAGAAAACATTTATTCAAAACTAAATTATTAATTTTAATTTGTTACAAAGTTACTTTACAAGTATGTCAATTCAAGCTTCTTATATACAATTAATTCAATTATGAATGCTTTTACCACAATTTTGAGTCTACAACACAATATTGTGCTTTAAACACACTTTGTGTGTTTCTTGTATAATCACACTTTTGTGTTTTAAACACAATATTATGTTTTAGACACACCAAGCCTTACTAAATAACATTAAATAATTACGAGTTATATGAAATAAATAATAAAAATGTAACACATAAAACAGATAAATAGAGAATAAAATAATTTAACTCGCTCGGGATTAGAATGTGTTGGCCAATGAATCACCGTTAAATTCTAATTCTGGTAACACATATTTGTTGATTAGATGCTCGCTGGTCACTGAATAAGAAAATTTTCCCTAATCATTCAAAAGGGTTATCTTTTGCAAAGCCATTTCCTCTATTGAATGATTTAAAGTTCTATTGAAAAAGTAATGCAGGTCATTCCTGTTATAAGACAGCCCGTTATAGTGACATTTTTAAAAAAAATTTTATAAATATAAATTTACTCCCGTTATACAAGTATAAGAACATAAATTTTACAAAAAATAATTTTATCTCGTTATAGTGACATCCGTTATAAGGACATGTCAGCATAACAAGATAACCAATCAAATCACGCCGATCTCTATGACACGCGAAATCGCTATTTTGAAATTGGAGTGCGTGGCGCAGTAACAGGAAGACTTTAGACCGAGCCAACCATACAAATCCTTCAATAATCATAAACACGATTTATTTTTGTTTTTATTATCTAAATCTAGTTAATATTAACAAATCAGTGGCATAAAATATATTCCGTGAAAAATAATATAATAAATAATATATTTTAATGAAAAAAGTGAAAAAAAATTTTCAATTTTCAAATATATTAATTTTTAATTACTACTCTTTAAGGTAATGATTGTTGCTGTTGATGTTGATGTTGCTGTTGATTTTGATATTGTTGATTTTGATTTTGAGTCTGTGACTGTTGATGAATTTGTGGTGGTAATAATGGCTGGTGATGTTGCTGTTGTTGAGTTGAAGATTGAAAAATTGATTGTTGATGTGGCAGTGGTGCTTGCTGGAACAATTGTGGCAGTTGTTGCATTGGTTGTTGTTGTTGATTATGAGGTAGTTGTTGTTGCATTTGAAATTGTGATTGTGGTTGAAATGATGGCATTTGTGATTGTGGAATTGGTTGCTGTTGTTGATGTGGGATTGATTGTGGTGGTGGTTGAAATAGTGGCATTTGTGGTGGCATTGATGATGATGATGATGATGACGATAATTGTTGTTGATGTTGATGGAGTAATATTGGTGATTGCTGTTGTGTTGATGATGATGGTGGTTGGAATGGAGGAAGTTGTGGCGGCATTTGTTGTTGTTGTTGTTGCTGCTGCTGCTGCTGCTGCTGCTGCTGCTGAAGTAATTGCTGTTGTTGTGGATGTGGTTGGAAAGGAGGTAAGGATGGTGATTTTATCATTGAATTGTGATTCTGTGGATTCATAGGCATAGGTAAATATCCTGCCATCAAACTACCATTTCTTGAAAATGATAATCCTGGAACCAATGGTTCTTGTTCTTCTATTAAATATTTGAAAATGAATTAAAATTGTTTTTTAATCAATAAAATCTTTAATAGAATCAAATTAGTTACCTTCTTCTTCATCAACATCCTTCAATCCAAGTTCTTCAGCCTTTTGTCTACCAACATGATATTTGTCTTGTACAGTATCACCTGGGTGAGCTCTTGTCCAAAATCTTGTAGAATGATCATTAGAACCAGACACCAATATATGCCCAATTGGATGCCAATCAAGTGACCAAACATTTTGATCATGAGCAAATTCGACTATTTCAACCACTGATTCTTGTCTAAATAAATAAATAAATATTGCTTTAATAACCATATGATATGATATAAATATTTTCAAAAAACATTATCATTTTTACCCAACAAGCCAAAACATTAAACACCCATCAGAACCGCCAGTAACAACCAATCTTTCATGAAATGGATGCCATGAAATACCTTTTAAATTATCAAAATAAAATTAATATAATTTTTTAAAGGAAAAAAGAAAGCCAAACCACCATCATCATTATTATATACATACTACAAACTTCTTTGTTATGTCCACGAAAGGTTTGTAAATCCTTCATCATCCTAATATCATAAACTTTGACTAATTGATCTTTTGCTGCAGTTCCCAACCAATTGCCGTTCTTATTCCATTGTAAACCAAGAATCATATTTTTATGACCATGTCTGTATTTTTTGGTAATAAAATTATATCAATATAATTATCTGAATAAAACATTTAAAAAAACCACATACAAAGTATCAATATTTTTTCCTGATTTTGGATCCCAAAATTTAATCAAGTTATCTTTAGAACCAGATGCTAAAAGCGATTTATAAGGATGCCAATCAACTGTTTTTACATCCCATCCATGCCCTTTATTTTTATAACAATACAAATGACTATTATTAGCTTACTTCATTAAAGATCACAGCAACAACAAAAAATTTAATTATTTAACCTGATAATGTCTTTTCTTCAATCCCTTCATTGAAATCCCATATTTTGATTGTACCATCATCTGAACATGTAGCAAACTTTGTATCAGATGGCGAAAATCTAAATTGATTACATTTCTATATAAAAAAAGTAGTTTATTGACTAACCATAATATCACTAATAGTAATTAATAATTTACATACGATAAATCTCTTATAGCCTCTTTATGACCTTCAATCATCTTCAGATTATTCATGTTGGACTGCCAATATTTTATGATACCTTTATGATCTGCAGTTACCATCCAATTATCATTATGAGACCACTTCATGGCTCGAACTGCTGATTCATGAGCCTTTAATTGTCATTTTTTAATAATAATAATAATAATAATAATAATAATAATAACATTTAATTATTGAGGAATCCATCCAAAAAAAAATAAAGACAATAAAAATAAAGCAAAAAATGTTTTGGTCAATCTTTATTTATTTTCTTTTTTTTTCTCAATAATTAGATTAAAACATATAAATATATTAAGAACTTTGAAAAATAAAAAATTGCCTTCCTCCTCAAATAGAAATTATTTGTAATTTATTATTATATTGAAGATTAATATAGCAATGCTTTTAAGATAAAAAATCACAATATAATTGTAATCTTTCACAAACAACAAAAAAAATGCTTCTTTTTTATTTGATCTTTATTTATTTGAACTTTTCACACTTCCAATATTAAAATCTAAATCCTAATCTAATTATGTGTGTGTGTGTGTTTACCCTTCAAGCTCTTTTGACAAATTGCTCCCAGGAATCAAGAAAGGAATAATAATAATAAAATTTATATTGATAAAAGAAATGATTTCATACCTGTAAAATAGTTTCAAAATTAAAAGTCAATCCATTCCAAAGTGTAAATTCACCACTTGATAATCCTGTAATTAAACGTCTTCCTTCAGGAGTCCACTATTGTAATATAAACAAATAAATAATACTATAAAATATCAAATCACAAAAAAATATTGTAAAATCAACTTTATAAATCAGTCAATTCCTTCCTTACATACTCGGACAACATTAACTGGATATCTATTTTTATTTGTTGAAGTATGTACATATTTTGTCGCTATAGCATTAACTGGATTATTAGGATAGGCTAATGGTGGCAAAAGCTAATCGTATAAATATATATGCAAGACAGAAATTTAGATTTTTTATATGTATTGTCATTATTAATAATGATAAAAAAAAAATATAGAAAATAATATTAATAATAAATACATCTATTGTAAAATTTGGTTTAGGACGCAAGAATTTTATTTCTTTTGGACATCGCATCCAAACTCGATCCTGTAATAAAAGATTTTTCAAAAGAATGAACGTTTGTTGTTTACAACTATTGTTACTTCTGAATTACCATTAAAGAAATACCTGCAAGTATTTCCCGATAGAACAGTTATAATCCACTGTTCTCCTTTGGATGGCCTTTCTCATCCTTTTACCATCAAAGACTGCACGTTGTGCATTGTTATTACTATTATTATTGATATTATTATTATACATGACGATAATAAAAATTAGAAAAATTATGGTGATCGTTCAATTAAAGATATTAATATTCAAATGAATGATTGGCTAGCCAATTTTTTTCTTTTTTCATATATAATAAAAAAAAAGTCTTTGCACTTTCTGATAATATTAATAAAATATGATATTTTAATGAAACAAAATTTTTCTGTGATAATAACGAAATATAAACTAAAGAAAAAATTCAAAGATTTAAAAGATTATAAAAGATTAAATGTTTTAATAGAGAATTGATCATCTTTAACAAAAAAAAAAGACCATCTTTAAAAGGAAAGGAACCACCAGTATTATGGAAACCAATCATCTACAAGTGCTGTCAATTTCTTGAACTTGATTTTCTTTGTTATGTAATTGGCTCAAAGATCAATGTTTTAAATGAAATAATAAAGTTAATAAGACCTGATTCACAAAAGGCCTCTAGAAGCCTAACAGGTCTTGAATTAGTCTTACAATCTATTTTTTTTTAAAATTTATGTTTTAAATTCTCACAATCACTACAACAAACAATCCGTGACTGCTCATTTAATTATTCCACCATAGATGTTGGCCAAAATTGTTTTTGCATTTGTCAATATTTCAAATTCTCAATATTCTTTATATGAATGAACATAAATAACTATGTTATTTGATTTATTTCAGATTAAAAAGCCCAAATGATTTCGGCTATTATTAATTCTATGTGTTCCACCACATCTTATCACCTTCAAGACTAATTTTAATAGAAATGTACAGCATACTATTTTTGGTAATCTTAATCATCAAAAATACCAAAAAAGGTGTAGTAATTATTTTATGATCTACTTTGCAAAA